GGGCCTAACCTGTCTTCAGTCACGAATGCTCACCTTTCGTTACACCTTCTTACAAAGATTTTTCAAGAATTCGCCTCATCCTGCTTTCTCGTTAATGAGCTATTTCCTACGCCAATATTGTAAGCTGAATTTTGACGCTCAGATTTTTCTCATTAATCTCGATGCCAAGTTTTTCGTCCATCTACCCACATTTTACAGTAACGTTTTGCAAGCCTGGAATCTTTCGAGAGCCCAAATTATCATACCACCTGATTATATTCAGTTTGTGTTGAATTTACCATTAAACTCTGTTTATTTAGTTAAATTTGCCGGTATTGATAACCAGCTCCTTTGGCCTCGTCTTCGCGTGCGTGGAATTCGCACAGTCGCGGACCTACTAGACCTCTCATCCGGGAAGTGGAAAGGACTGGAAGCTCTCCATTCCGACAACTCTATACGAAGGTACTCAAGCAGAACTCTTCATTCGGAACTCATGGATGCGAGAGAACTCCTCATACGTGTCTTTCCGAAATTCTTCAACCGCTCCGGATACCGTCTCTCCACACGTAACCTACAGAACATTCCAGCCTTCTTGGAACTTCCTCTCGCTATCCATTTCCCTCCAGACGTTGATGCTTCAAGTGCATCCTCAAAATTCATCTATAAAACTCTCAACGCAGAACTCAACTCTTTGAAGAATCCAATTCAAACTTACTGGCACAAACATAACATCATTCCGGAGAATCGAAGGATTCAATGGAAGGAGATATATCATCTTCCATCTTCGAAGAAGGAGGGCGATATTCAATTTCGACTACTACACAACATTTTACCCAGTTTACCGGTTCTCCAACATATAAATCCGGACATTTCGCCGCTTTGTCAGTGGTGCGGTGAAAGAGGAACAATTCTACACTTATTCATCCAATGTCGCGCTATCCAGCAAGCACTCAACTTTCTCAACTGCCTTCTGAGCCGTCTGTTCCCGGACCTCATCCAAGATTTTGATCTCTACTGGTGTCTGCTTCCTCACGGGAGAGGACGGCCAAAGGAGATGGTCAATCTGGCAAATTACTTCATTATCAGCATGAAAGCTACCATATACTACCTCTACTTACGTTCGTCCTCTACCGATCTCCTCACTGTGTGGAAACATCGAATGAAAAGTAAAATATTGATCGAATTTCACTATTTCTCAGCCAAAAACAACACTAGCTTGTTTCAATACAAATGGGATCACAACAACGCATTGTTCACTATGATTAACCAAAAATTAATCTGGCTGATATGAAGCTTTTTTGATACTGATTTTTTTTTTCTTTTGAAACATGGTGATTTCCACTACTTCCCTGCGGGGATGAAAGTGGTTAACAAACAGCTTTTGATTTTCGGGTTTCTTTTGTTTTGTATGATTTTTTTTGATTGTTTGATCTGTGAATTCAACAATATTTGTTCAATGAAGTTTGCATTCATCCATGAATGCTGTGAATTACTACGTTCCAAATTTTTTTAGTTTATTCTTTGTATATACATACTTTGTTTAATCCTTTTGAACCATGTTTAATTTTAAGTGGACTTGGTTTGTGATTTGATTTGAATTAAAGGTTCAATTGGAAAAGTGAAAAAAAGTGTTTGTTTGTTTGTTTGTTTGTTGGGGTGTTGGGGTGTTTGTTTGTTTGTTTGTTTGTTTGTTTGTTTACTTTATACGTGTACGATGTCCATGTAGAGTGCAAACATGAACACTACCCCCAACTCAAACTTAGATGTGTTTCAACAAAACTGGCAATAGATGGCTGTCCTCTGACGCTTGAACCCAGCAACTATAAAGAAGTGTACTCGGCGCTGTTGTAGCGCCAGAGCCGCTTTCGATTCCATTTCAGTTCAATCAATTAAGTGATTGCGCGCATTTCGTTTATGCTCATTCAGATTCGTACAAGACTTCCTTTTCACTTTTTAGAGGGCGACTTCAAACAGTGGTCATTCTATTTCACTTTTAATTTAATGTTATGTAATGCAATCGGCTATTTTGAATGAGAAAAACGTACATTTGATTGCACGAAAAGGTATGCTTGCGTAAGTGAATGCACAGGTAACGTAATTGACCGTTTCGCAAAACCGAATGCGCAGACAACGAAAACGATTGAACTTTCGTTGAATTGAAATCGGAATACAGACGTTCATTCAAATTCAGACGAAAATGATTGACTGATTTTCAGAAGTGATTGAACATTCTAGAAAATTGGCCGGAAGGACCTTTCTTCACTGAATTGTACAATTCGTCATTCACTGCCAGATTTTCTCTTCGTTTGCTGCTTATTGAATCAGCTCGTCCCATCTACAGCTGTCGTAAATTCAACAGGTTTATTTGCATAACTATTTTTTTATAAGGGTCATGCCACTCGCATATCATTCTGGTGTCTTTTCCAGGTTGCACTTTTGATGTCCAGTGTAACCCGGCCAATATGTCTTGGATCCCAACAACCGGGGATCCAGGGCGTATGCATACGAGTCTGTCGTCAACCATAAAGTACGTGTGCACGAAGAGGGGGTGGGGAGGAGGTTGTTACCGTTACATACACCATACATACACGGGGGCAACCTCGTCCCCAAATCTAACAATATTTTCAACCTCGTTTTCAATAGTAAGCCCCGGATGGGAAACTTTCTTCTTGTATCCTGATTGGATAACGCAATAAGCTGTAGTAATGAATTTATATTGTGTACTCGGTAAATTGTAATGTAACTTCCAACGAGCATTAGGGCCTATGTGTTTTCACGTTCATTGTATTTATTACATACACACCTCAAAAATAATTATTTCCTTTCCAATTTGCTCATATTAATATGAAATGCGATACTGCAAATTAGCTTGATAAGATTGTATCAACTAACATTTTTACTTTGAAATAATAATCGTTTTTTGTAACCCGATACCGCCGCGGCGAATTGATTCTGTTTTTAACCAAGACACCGCGTACAAAAACCAATCGCTAACATAAAGCACAGGCAGGCACCAGACTATTCCTAATTTGCATACGTAAAAAAGATGAAAACAAAAATGAGAAAGTCAATGCCAGAAGGGTGTTTTTTTCTGATTAAAGATAAAAACTAACATTACAAACTGTGAAGAATAAACACATTGATTTAAACTATGTTTTAATACAGCCGTCACTTAAAATTCGATTTTGTTTCTATTTTCAAATGTATTGCTATTTTATTTTATTATTTTACTATCGCACTGATCCGAGCATGTACATTGTACATGTTTAGGCTATGTATTGAATGAATTGTGTTGTAGTTGACACTTGAATGAATTGTCAATTAATTTATTATTTTCCTTTATAGCCAGGAACTTCAAGCAATAGGTTGATTATTTGATAGTCTCGTCAAAAACCATGAGACAATGAAACCAGATACGTGTGACTAAAGCGGTTGCAAGTTGTGGGTTCGATTCAAGCCTTGGGTTGTTGTGCGTGTGCCCTTGGGCAAGGCACAATGGGTACCTGTTAGGGCAAAGATGGTTATTGTGAATGACTGTAGCTGCCTTGCGCCGAAATGGCGTTTGAACAGCTATGTTTATTGTGACTTTTTCTTGCCCATGACCTACACACTTCGTTTGAAAATTATAACTGAATTACGTCAACGCTACGTAGCTGTGCCACATAGGCCTACTCAGCCCTGACGGCCATGTGGGCAACATCATTATTACCAAAAGTTCAGATAGGGTTTTCTCGAACTTTCCAGCAATCAAAATGTATCGGTTTTCCCAGCTATTTTAACACTTCTATCACTCGAATTCCCTATATCATTACTTTAATTTCGTCCCCAATCATCGCCAAGCTCACCATCTCAATTTGAATTTCAAAAAAAACCACTAGATTTCATTTAAGGTGCAGTATAATTCAAATTGTTAGCATTCCGATTCGTCCAAAATCTTTGAATTTCGTCTCGTGAAGCAATCGGCGTTGAATTGACAAAGCAAATTCGTTTTTTGTCATTCGTTTTCAAGTTGTTGTCATAACATTTCGTTTCTTGTGACGTAAAGTGCATACGATAAGAAAAAGCGCCCAATCTTTAGACTTATTTGAAGAATTGTGCGCATTAAAACAATGATAATTTCAACATCCATTACCCTATATGTATAAATAAAAGTTGTTAGCTGTATAAGGTATGCATTTTTATTTTGTGTTTCACAATTAACATTAGAGTCAAGAATTGACATTTCAAATATGACATGGACACTAAGCGTCTTCTTAATGTTGCTCTTCGATAGACATATACCGCATTTCTGTTGTTTTATTCATATACATGTACATAATATCAAAGAGCAACATTAAGAAGGTCACGGTCTGATGTCAATGCTTAATTTCCATATGCTAAACAAAGAGCATATTGTAAAGGTCCCATTTCTGATTTTATTGTTAACTGTAAAAAAAAAACCTCAAAACTTACAGCTAACTTCTTTCATTTATAAGGAACTATTTGCTTAACATTAAAACTGTAATTAACGTGCACAATTCTTTAAATAAGTCCAAAGATTGGGCACATTTTTAATCGTTACGTTTTAAGTCACCAGAAACGAAATGTAACGATAACAACATGAAAATGAATGACAAAAAAACGAATTTGCTTTGTCAATTCAACGCCGATTGCTTCACGAGACGAAATTCAAAGATTTTGGACGAATCGGAAAGCTAACAATTTGAATTATACTGCACCTTAAATGAAATCTAGTGGTGACTTTTTGAAATTCAATTTGAGATGTGAGCTGGGCGATGATCGGGGACGAAATTAAAGTAATGATATAGGGAATTTGTGTGATAAAAGTGTTAAAATAGCTGGGAAAACCAATATTAAAATTAATAGTACTGAAAAAGGATGAAACATTACAAAAGTTTTAAATGCGCCGTTGTGATGTAAGGTGACGTAATTATACAAAATATGTACATCAGTATCACAGCGTCCCCTAGTGTCATGTGGTGTCTTGTGCCCCCCCCCCCCCCCCCCCCCACCCCCTCCCCCACACCTTTTTGGAATTTCCACGGCCGGGCAATACTTTTTTTATGATCAACATCCCGCCCGAGTCCCCAGCACAGATTTAATTTACGCCACTGTCTGATTGACTTGACCTCAAAAGTGATCTCTGTTCTCCAAGATTCATAGTAGGACACCAGCCTAGTTCAAGGCCTCTTTGCTTCCAATTCCTCGATGCACTTGTGAGTAGCTGCTTGCAAAGAGGTGAATCTCGGGTCATCACCGAAGCCAAACTCCGAGTTGTAGCTGGACAGGTAGGACAGCCCGATCTTCTTCTGTGGGTCTGCGCGCCCTTGCATGCCGCCACTACCCGGATGTCCAAACTGGGCTGATCCCTATATTGGAAGAGAACAGCCAGGTTCGGTTAGGATACAGTGACGGGCACGAAGCGAGATCAAGCAGCCGCCGCTTTTACAAACTGAACATCGGTGTATCGTGATACACTCCGGATAGTCCCAGATCAGATTTTGACCCGGAATAGTTCCAAGTCAAACATGACTTCGATTGTGGGTCAAATCTGGTGGACACTTTTCAGAGTGTAATAACAACAATATTGGATACAATTTGACGTTGGATTTTTGCCAAGCTGTCATTAACTATGGATTGAATAAAATTTGACGTTGGATTTTTGCAAGTGTGTCAATAATTATGGATTGGGTAATATTTGACGTTGGATTTTTGCCAAGCTGTCCGAACAATTTGATAACATTGGACGTTGAATTTTGCCAAGCAGTCAATAACTTTGGATTGAATAAAATTTGACGTTGGATTTTTGCCAGGCTGTCAATAACTATGGATTGGATAAAATTTGACGTTCAATTTTTGCCAGGCTGTCAATAACTATGGATTGAATAAAATTTGACGTTGGATTTTTGCCAGGCTGTCAATAACTATGGATCATGGATACAATTCGACGTTGGATTTTTGCCAAGCTGTGCATAAAGTCTCCACCTACCTCGTACTCATCAATGAGGAAACCGAGGTTATTCACAGTCGGCAACCCAAGAGTCCTGTCTATCGACCCGTCAATTTGCGCCTCAGAGATGATCTTCTTGATGATGTTATCAGACAGCAATTTTTTACCTTCCTTAGTCCGCCCTCCATTGGCCAATATCCCGTAGACTGTAGCAATGGCCCGGGCCGTTCCAACGCCGTACGCAGACGGCTGTTCCAAGGCAAGCGTTTCCGGACGCATCAAAACACTGCCCTGTGTGAGGAGATAACAAAACACGTTGCTGAGGAGACAAATCTACTCAAGAATTTATTTCGCTACGCAAATAAAACAGTACATAAAACGGTGACATAACTGGGGGTGACATGGATGTACGACCCAACTAGCGCACAAGGCCTACGATAATAAATGATGAGATTGAGCCTTTGAGGATACAGGCATGGCATTTGACACACAGTCAGAGTATGTCACGAAAAAGATACTTGGCTATAGGGCCATTGCAGACTTGTTCAATGGAAGCTAATTTTGAACATTTTCAAAATTGCAACTCTATATAAAGGACAAACCTAAAATAGCCCTAAAGTCAAACAAATTCCTAAAACATACTCGACTATGTGCCAAATGCCATGCTTATATCACCAAAGGCACAATTCCCCCAATTATGTCCCGTATGTGCCCCACTCCAGCGTTTCTACACTTATGCTCTACAGCAATGGTTCAGGATCTGCTAGTGCTGAGAACCGACACCGTGTTGAAGTTATTTTACAATGTGCATCTGAAACCTATAAATTTACAGAATGTCATTTATTGTGAAATGACATTACAACTATTGTATACGCGCATTGATAATCATGTATACGCGATGACGTCATGGCATATAGTCATAATTGAATTACCTTTCCAATGCGACATGTCACTGTTGAGTGTTGACATTATATCCCCGACTAATTCACGCAAATACACGAAACAATTTGTTAACAGTCCACATTCTATGTCGTTAAGAAAATGGAAAATGTTTTAAGGACTAGGAATCGAACGTACATCCACGGTTTCCCAGCCTACTTCCAAGATTTTCGACATATCGCTCTTGCCTGTTGCCATGGCCAACATCAGTTGCCGATTGAGCGGACTACTTAGACCACGAAGCAATGACAGCAAGACGCTGTTGGCGTTCCCCATGAGCCTTGCGTTACGGTGAAATGATTCCAGTGGGAGACCGATGAAGAAATCAATACCTGTAAGATAATAATTATCATTTAAAAAGCATCTCAGCCAGCGATTGACCCCTGGCCAAGGACTGGCCCAGTCCCGGCAAGACCTGGCAGGCAGGACTGGTCCAGGCCTGGCATCTTACCGCTGGCCCACCCCTGGCAAGCACCGGGCCAACCCCTTGCCAGCCTTGGTCCAGGCCTGTTATTGCTCACCTGGGCCAGACCTGGGCCAGGACTGGCTAGCCAATGGCAGCCAGAACTGGCCCAGACCTGGCAGCTGGTTGGCCCATGGCTGGTTCACCCCGTGACCCCCGGGCCAGACCTGGGCCAGGACTGGCTACGTCATCTTATGCGAAAGGTTTCTTGCTCAAGGACACATGGATCACATCCAAAGGTTGGACTCGAAGTCACAACGGCATTAATCCTATAGCAAGCAATCTAGGAAGTTTGATACTAAACACCGAGAGGCCACGGCACTTGACTAGTAAGAGAGTAGCTGCCACTGAGATCTCCAAGTAATCATATAACATCCAAGAGACAAACCCTCCATTATTACCCCAAACTACCTCAGTTTACCTTTTTCATATACAAGGACTTTTCTGAATTTCTGGAAACCAATTGTTTAAACTTATAAGGGGCAACAAACATCCAATAATAAGTGACAGTGGACTGTTATCCATCTTAAATAACAATTCAAGTGGGAGGTGTTTTTTTTATTGTAAGTCGCCCTTTTTCAAGGCTGCGATCCAATAAAAGGCCAGGGTTACGAGATACAAGTGCAAGACATTACCAAATGGTTCAGCGATCTCCTGCTTGAAGAACTGGCCAAGAGTCCTATGCTTTGGATCAGCGCGCCTCACGACCTGACTCAAGTACAGACCGAAGGTGATAGCATGATATCCATGGGCGGTGCCAGGCTCCCAAGCAGGGGGAGATCGGGCCAGGAGTTCACCCAGAGCATCCTGGTCCTCCATTAGTTCCAAGGTGACTTTCTCGGAAGTGTAGGACAGACCAGCCTGAATACGACAATTGAAGAGTATAGAGAGTTAGAGGGGCATCAGTTTTGGACGCCATCTTTTCGTCCACGAATGAGGACAACATTAAGCCATGAGATTCTAGGGCAATTTTTTTTATAATAATATTACAAGTACTGGCAACATTAGTGACAAAAATAAGAGAACTTATTGACCTATAACTTATTGACCGATTTTGACCAATAATGGCGTCTGAATTGATAGAGGTCGCAATCTACTCCATACACGGCCGGTTCTGTACAGAGAGCTTGCGCAGGGCGCCCTCAATCTGGACATGTTTTTTCTCACCCTTTTGAGAAACATGACGAGGGCGCCCAGAGGAGGCCCTCTATATATTTTAAAGGGTAAAACAGGGCCTAGAACTGTTGTTTCAAAACCTCAACTCTATCTCAAACTTTGATTTCAACTCATTTGAGTCTAACACCTGAGACGCAAGGGTTTCTTTATTATACACTCTGCGTATTAGAACATATTTTTGATGGGTTTTGCCATTTTCGATCAATTAAAAAAGAAAGTACATAAAGTACACTGGTAAGTATTCTTTCAAAGCACACTCACATCGAAGATTGCCGTCATGCAAAAAATGTACGGCATCAGATTAAGATTTCAGTTTTGCCATCTTGGTTTGCGTGACATTCCAAATTGGCGAGGATCGATGGGAAGCTAGTGTTTTTAAAACCTTCTACAGTATGGCTTTACAAGAAAACAGCTCAAATCGATGTCAGAGTGAATTAAAGTCTTTCACCCACCTGATGGTTAACGAGCATGCGCAGTGTGACTTTCTCCTTGCCATTCTGGGCAAACTCTGGCCAATAGGAAGCCACGGTCTTATCGTAGTCAAGGAGACCCCTGTCAACTAGAATGGCTATGCACAGAGCAGCCATGCCTGTAGTACATGTATAACGAAGCAAAGGCAGAAACGTAGTGGAAAACAAAGAATGTGCTATAATAGTGAGCCAGATTTGGCGATTCCAATGCGCGTTTCGAGATAGGCGCGCTACATCACAAACGTCACCAATATTTATGGAGGAAAGGTTTTTGTCGTAAAATGAGTATAAGCCTACAATTTTCCGAGGAAAATAGTCTGCACAAAAACTCATATTGAATGCTGAGTTCAATATAGCAAACTCAGTTATCATTTACCAATACACTTACATTGATCTGCTACGGTGAACTCATCAAATGATGTTTTCCATGCCCAGTTGGAATACAAAACTTGCGCATTGATAACGACAGACAAAGAAGTACTTATCTAAAATTGGACGAGGGCAGTGAAATTGCAAACATGTTTGGACCGCACTGGGCCTTTACAGGAGATATGCTTCACATTTCCGATCTACTAGCTATCTATCGTTGTGGCATCTATGCTTCAACGGCCAACGTGCATCTGAGACGCGCAATATGACAACGGTTAGCTCAACGTTCTTGCTAGTGCTAGTACAAGCAGGGATATAACAATGGGTCTTTAGTGCTTGTTACATGATATATGACAAAAGTACCCCGAAGCTAAAGTGCACACCGGCTACGAAGAACCCTAAATATTGGTGTTCCTTTTTCGGCACTTCGAGGTGTAACCCCTGGAGTCAATTACGTGGAGGCACTGGAATTTTTCAAGATTCGGTGAAAATAAAGACCCAGAAGGCAGATCTCCCGCGGAAGCCCAAATTCCATAAGCAAGTCGTGCACATGGGCACGTTTGCCGACTTCAAGTGTCTACAATTAAGTGCCCTATCATTATTAATCGAACATGCTGATCAGCAGCAGTGATTCTACCCCGTAATAATCTACCCCGAATGTGCCCGAAAATGTTCGACGTTGCTCGAAAATGTCGGTCAGTATAGAAAACGAATGTTTGCCCGGTATCGATCGGAGATGCCCGATGAATCCCGAAGTTGCCCGAAGATGCCAAGCGGTGGAAGGGACTGTTTACCCACCTTTTGTTGTCGAAAAGAAAGTTGAAATGGTGTCCTCCTTCCATGGCCGTCCTGCCTCACTGTCCGCGTAGCCTCCCCAGATGTCTACGACCTTTGACCCTTTGTAGTACACCGAGAACGCAGACCCGCCCGAGGGGTATTCAACACCATTCTCAAAATTTTTCCTGAAAAAAAGGGAAAATAATTCTGCGAATGTATTCACACCGTTTTGCCTAAAATAGTTTTGAGAGGGTTTTCGCCACCATTTTCACAACAATGAAACGCAGTGATGCAGTGACCTGAAGAATGAATCCAAGATATCAATGAAAAGCTTACTGCTTCTGTATAGTAGGCCCCCTATACAGGGTGGTTAAAAAAGGGACACCCACAATTGACAGCAATTTTCAACTATTTTTATAATTAATTATAACTGTTGATTAGTAGCTATTGAAGTACTGTCCTTTAAGCAAATGTGACGAAAAAAATCGTTGCATTAGCACATTTTGTCGTTGAGCTATGCTAATATGAACAATTCATGTGCGAAACCTGTTTGTCCACGGAGGTATATACATCCCTTCGCTTGACTGAGCTCAGCTATCGGAGCTTTATTTGAAAGGGCATGACATTTGATTGTTATGTTATGTAATGTTATACAACAATGAACTTAAGCCGACAGCTCATTGAGTAGATGCTCTTAACGCGGACATGAATAACTGGACAGCTTCAATAAAAGTTTCCACAGCAAAATATATTTTGGTGGGAAGGTTTTTATTTTTATTTTTATGAACTACGAAAACGTCACCTGGAAGAACCCGTGGACAAGACTGATTTTGGTGACTTGTATTCAAATTAGCATAATATCACTATTTCTTGCGACTTTAAATAAGCTTTTTTCACCATGCATGGCTAAAGGCCTATACTTTACATGAGAAAACATATTTAAAATACGTTCATTAAGTGGGTGAAAATTGCCAAAAGTGGGTGTCCTTTTTTAAGCACCCTGTATGATGACATCATAATGATTGTTGTTAGGTCATATACTTTGGTCATGGGTAAGTCCAAAAACAGATACCGTACTTGTCCAATACGTAAAACCGTATTACATATCATCGCTAAGACTTACGACATTCTCCTTGCAGAATACAGAATTAAAAAAAAAAAAATCCAGGAACACCTTAAAGGGTCAGAATTTCGTTATATTTATGGGACAAATCATGCCCCAAATTTTAAACTCTCCCTCGTGTTATTTGTGGGGAAAGTGATTTTGAGGAAATCGAAACGGAGACTGTTGATATTCACACTTACGAATACTTATACCCGGGGCCTATTTCATAGCTGCTAAGCACAAAAATTTGCTCAGCATGAAAAGTCTGTCTTTATAAGTAAAAGCAGGTTACCAGCCAAAACTAATGTGAACAGTATATGCTAAGCGAACAACAGCCGAATACCAATCACAAGCAATATACATCACCTGGAAATTTGGATGGTAATCCTGTTTTTGCCGAGGAGGTTTTTTCATGCTAAGCAAATTTTTGTGCTTAGCACCTCCATGAAGTTGGTCCCTGGTCCTTGGAGATGAGTCTAAGGCCGTGTCCGAAACGGGCTTCGAGGGCTACGGCTATTGTCAGCGCGTCCCTGCGTATTTTCAATGGGCGCAGACCTAGACCTAGCTCTAGACAGTTGATTCGGATGCAGCCTTACCTAGTCAATAGCCAGGGAAAATCAAAAGGTCCGTGTACATGACCTATGACAAAAAGAAAATTCCCAGGCTGTACTTTTTGTTTGGACAAACTGTCTGCAGAAACAGCATTCGTTGTTTTTCTGGCTATTAAAATTAGGCAAGTATCTTGCATGCTGAATATCATCCAATGAAAAGAACAGTTTCTGTTACGATTTCCTAAAAATAAACTTTTCCCCAATTAGTGGCGTACACCGCTGCGTGTCTCACAAAGCGGATGAATTCCAGTACATTAGAGCCACCCGTGCAGGTCCGTGCTTATCGTACAGCAGACCACCATGTCATTGTAGAGACAAATGCCCATTACCTGAAGAGTTTGGCCACCGGTTCGAATCCAGGCTCCACGGTTCCTGAAGTGATGATGGGACGAGTCTTGATCCAGAGTTGCGGTAGGTACACCGTCAGCACCGCAGTCACACAGACCAGAATTGCACTCTTCATGAACGCCATTTTTCCCCGCACAGTTTTCGTGCCAACGTCTCCCTAAAATAAGGCTGCTGGTATTGCAAAAGGCTCACCCAAATGCTTATCTACCATGACATTGCAATAACAGTGTTTGCGTGCAAACAATACCTATTCAAAGTCAAACACGTTCTATATGCAATACAATGACATATATAGTATCTCGATCCGTCTGGCAAAAGTCCGCTACCCGCCGTACGTTCACTAACAACAGACGACTGTTGCGTGTATGACATCATAGCACGAAACTGTCATTAAATGTGACACATTAAAAGTTACCGAAAAAAAGTCTCAGTATGATACATTTGGTGTTTCACAAGTTATTGCTCTAAACAACGAGTGAATTGTTGTATTTAACATTGACTCATTCGGATTGCTGTTCACAGTTCAAACACTAATATAAGTTGTTCCGGTCATATTATTGTTGTTTAACGAGTGCTCTTGAAATGACACTGGCGATCGGGACACAATGTGAACAATAATTATTAATCACCGAAATATTGAGTTTAATACATTCAGTATCTCTTGAGATATTTCCCGAACCATGAGTGTCTTCTTTTTACCCAATACGTGTACTAGTGAGGCATCCGTGTTGACGCTGTGTACATGCGTGGCACATTGTGACCACTGTGCATCGAGGCGCCAAATCACAGGAAGATTCTGATCGACCATCCACTCTACCAAGTCAGTATAAAACAGCACGACTGTTAATAACACATTGGGAATTTGAAACGTTTCAGCCTTTCCATATCCACGAAAACAGCGAACAAAAAAGGGTCATCATCATTTTTATACAAAATATCAAACCATTTCAAACTTTTCTTTCCTCGTGGAGCGAAGGGCTGCGTCAGTTTTGTAGATGTGACATCGTTTCAATTGCTATACCTTTTAAAATTAACAGCTAATTTCTAACATTTAGACGTACGAAATCTGAAAAGGATTTATTTTATATAACAACAACAAATACGAGTACCTTAAATTTCTGTTAGAGGTCAATTATCGATTTTTGTAAAAAAAAATCAACATAAAATTATGTTCAACCTTATAACAATCATTATCAGTTAGCAAGGGCGGCTCCAGGGGGCCAACGGGGGCAATGGCCCCTTCTCCCCCCCCCCCACCCCATTTTTTTTCAACTGGATTTCGCAATAAAGGCAGGCACCGCGTACACCACCATCTTTTCCTGGAACAAAAATGGGTTAAAGTTATCAGAAATTGCCTCAGGTCGCACCACAGAGCATTTAGAATCCAAACATTTTTTTCGGGGCCCTTAAGCGGGTCCCGGAACCCCTCGCTGTAATTTGTGTGGGGTGCTATGGTCCAATGGTTACTGTTTCCGTCTCGTGTGCCGTGATACATGCATGGGTTTGAATACTGACCGTGGGGACATGGTGCTTGTGCTCTTGAGCAAGGCACTTTGCCATTATAGCTTCGTCCTTCGCCCCGTGTGTTGTGTACTGCAGGTTAAGGAACCCAGTAGCACTTATCGCTAAGAGAAGGGGTTTGCCCCGGTGTTTCTGACAGTGGCTGCTTAATGCGCCGTAGCACCTTGTAAACCCTTATAAAGCTGCTACATAATGAGTTTCATATTTCTCATGTCCTTCATTCACCCGTCTCTAATAACAGACCTAATTTCCAGCGCCTTGAGTACTAATTGTTGGTAAATACGTGCGCCGGCTTTATAAGACTTCGGTAGTAAAATTTATTGGACACACTTTTGGGGGAACAAACATATTCTCCCCCCCCCCCTCAAAAAAAAAATAATTAAATCGTTGTCTGTATCCGCCCTTGTCAGTAAGCCAGTTCCTCCTGCTGTGGCTTTAAGTCCTCATATTTCAGGGTTCTAGATTGTCGATGCACTTGTATGTTGCTTCTTGGAGTGACATGAACCTGGGGTCATCGGTCAGACTGAACAGCGGATGGTAACTAGACAGGTATGATATGCCGAGCTGTCGCCGCGTGTCGGTGAGTCCCTGCACGCTGCCGCCTCCCGGATGTCCGAACTGAGGTGAACCCTGCGCAGAAATAAAATGTCGTGAAACTTTCAAGCTCAGGGCTTCACTTTACCCACGCACTGCCTCGTCCAATTTCTAATATTTCTATGATGTCTCATTGGATGAATTTGTGAAGCGTCTACATAGTTATGACAGTCGTAACACCCGTCTTCAACCACCCACCCCCCCCCCCCCCCCTCAATCCTCTAAAGTCCTCTAGGCGGTTTTGGATGACTTTGGGGGATTTGGGCTTTATGGCCTATATGGCAAAACAAGTGTAGGCCTAGGTTGATTTTAATTAAGGCATAGTGTCAACTTCGTAGGCTGTACCCAGCAATGTTTATGTTCAGCCATGCATATTGAGCCATGCATTATGCTGGATATCATCTGTACTGCTTCTGAATGTCATTGGCCCCGCCTCAAGTTCCCCATTACAGTGATTGGTAGAGGATTTTAAAGGATTGAGGCAGTGGTCAATTTTCAACTGAACAAATTTAAAAATTAACGGATGATTTTGGAGGAGTGAGGCTGAATCTGATTTTTATTTTGAGGCAATTGCATGAATTTTGCAGTGCTGAGGATGGTTCTTAGCTACAACGGCATAGAAGTTGGGGTTAATGGCTGTAGTCACGAAATTGCAAGGTAACATTTTGAATTCATGAGGTACCGCTGTTCTTCCACATCACGTTGGCACATGCTGGGTAAAGGTATCCATTAGGTATGTTAGGTCTGGACAGTGTGGTTCATATGGTACTGACTTCCAAAAGAAGGCGGGGAACCAAAGTTGTTTAAAGTAAACGACATCCCTCGTCGCTCATTCGCACATGCGCAATACCACTTAGCTAATTAGCATCAACGCCCATCACTGCACATTTCGTGTTTTGACCGCGGAGTGAGTAACGCCGACACGGAGATAGCCATAGAAACCGATCCCTACCTGGAATTCACCGACAAAGTACCCAAGACTTAAGACCGTCTCCGTGCCGACAGTCCTGTCTAATGATCCGTCAGCTTCGGCCTCGCTTGTGATCTTTTTGATGACGTCATTCGAGAGCAACCTTTGACCTTGGTTAGTCCGCCCTCCATTGGCCAATATCCCGTAGACTTTGGCGACGGCGCGGGCCGTTCCAACGCCGAACGCAGACGGCTGCTCCAAGGCAAGCGTTTCCGGACGCAAGTGGATACTCGACTAGGGAATTTGTGTTTTAAAAAAATGTTACTGTGAATTTTAACATTTTTCTATAAAACATAAACAGAATGTTAAAGATTTTGAGAAAACATTTTTACATGTACGGAAAAGATTTTTAGTAAGTACTATAATCACCAGATGAGAGATAATTTAATTTAAAATATCTCGATTGTTGTTGATGTCGTGATCTCTATGCATGGCAGTGTGGTAAATGTACGTGAATTTTGGAGTTCGGCCAAAAACTACCCACGCCGACCAAATCACGTTTTGCATGCCCTCAAATTCTCTGCTATAAGATATTTTGTGGGCCCTGAACTTTAGAATTTGTATAAAAAGAATAATGGGGGTCTTTAACATGACTGGGAGCTTATATTTCTGTAAAATTTGGGTGAAATTGGGCCCTAAAATGCTCTGTTTTGCTATAGTGTAGGTATACTTTTTTTTCAAAATGGTGATGAGCATCACACAGGACTACTTATAAAAGGTGATCATCTTTGGATGAAAAGTTCTCCCTGAAGTTATCCCAAACCCACCAAAAATTGAACAGAAAATTTAAAATGATGAAATAAGCTTAAATTGGATGCGTGTTTCAAACACCTTGGAGTGTGAGTATTTCCTGAGATGTTTTGGAACTGCGGGTATTTTTCACCGGGGACTGTGGCAGTTTATTTACAGGTCTGCAATCTTATTCATTTCTTTCTGGTGATGAAACAATTAAGGATATCCCAGGTGTGCCATAGCTAGGCAGGGTAACTCAAAAGCGTGAAGGCACCCGTACAGGAAGGAGACAATGAAAAGAAATCGCATGTTAAGAGGTCGGAGGAAAAATCCAGAAGATTATTCTGAGGAAAACTCATGGAATCTGGTACGGACTCAAAAGCAGTGTTGTAGTCGAGTATTTTTTCCGAGTACCGAGTACTGCCGAGTACTTAGGTTGCCGAGTACGAGTACAAGTACGAGTACTTGTACCTCCGAGTACAAGAACAGGTATCCGAGTACGAGTACTTGTGCTTCCGAGTACGAGTACGAGTACGAGCACCGTACTTCCGAGTACGAGTACGAGTACTTGTATTTCATTGGTTCATTGTGCGTAATTGGCCCAGGCCCAGTCAGACCGATAAACAGACCCAATCACGGCTAGCTGACTTCTCCACAAGCCAATCAATCATTTCAAACTGAAAGTATCGATAAAATAAGGCTCTGGTATAAAGTCAAGCTATACCATTTTCCCCCGAGTACTGTTATTCGAGTACGAGTACTTTGATGATCAAGTACAATTTTGACATGTCGAGTACGAGTACTTTGCTGCCCGAGAACGAGTACCGTCATTTCGAGTATGAGTACTTTGACGTTCGAGTACGAGTACGAGTACGAGTACAACCAAACAAGTACTCGAGTAGTACTCGAGTACGAGTACCGAGTACGAGTACTACAACACTGCTCAAAAGCCAGCTCACATGTGGTCCGGGCAGGAATCGAACCCGGGCCATAGCGGTGGATCATGGAAGGCGAGGAAATTAGTAACGACTGCGCCAACCTGACTCCCTTTACAGGAACGCGTATGAGATGAGAGTCCCTATGTTCGGTCATACTCGGGTATAAGAGAGGCATGTGTAGGAAGTCTTACCTCCATGGTATCCCCACTCGATTCAATAACTTTGGAGATGTCGGTTTCTCGAGACACCATCGCCCACAGCACGTGCCGGTTGACCGGACCGGTCGTCAGCCCGTACAGCAGTGCCAGTACCATGTTGCCAGCGTCCCCCGTGATCCTTGCCACCCGGTGAAATGATTCCAAGGGCAAGCCGATGTGAAAATCTATATCTGTTAGGAATCAAATGAACAAAAAAAACCCAAAGAATCATTGAAACATTCTTTACCGATTGTTGGCGCCGATGTACAGGGTGAGTAAAATAAAAACGAAACCCAAATGTCGGGACCGTTTTTTTAGTGAAGTTCTGCATGTAGCACTTTCAAAATTGCTGAAAGAACACTTACCTTTTTGTGATCCGTGCCGGACAGAACTTTAAAACGGTGTTTGTGTTTAAAATTCCGTAACTTGAAAAGTACATGAGTGATTTGAAAGATTCCTGTACTGAAAGAAAGCTTATAAAGCTTATGAATTGGGCTTTCATATCCTATATTTAAAAGTGCTACATGCAGAACTGTTCCGAAATTTTGCATGAATGAGAATGAATTAAAGTTCCAGCCTGTTGCTTTTTGGCTTGTGATAAGAACCGCATGCTGAAAAGGATGTGTGTTCTAAGCAACGATTTTCCTTAAGGTATATTGCACATGATAGGGGCTTACCAAATATCATAACTGCCAAAAACAAACGAACCAAATGTGATTTTTTTGGGAATACAAACTCGAAGTTTGAAATGTACCAAATGGTTGAGCGATCTCTTCCTTGAAGAACTGGCCCAGTGTCCTGTGCTTGGGGTCGGCGCGTCTCAAGAGCTGGCTGGCGTACAGACCGAACGTCATCGAATGGTATCCGTGAGCAGTGCCCGGCTCCCACGCCGGGGGAGACCGCGCCAAGACCTCACCCAATGCATCCTGGTCCTCCAGATGAGCGAGCGTGATGTTCTCGCTGGTGTAGGACAGCCCCGCCTTAATGGGAATGAAAAGAGCAGACTTAAAGTCTGAGACGATGAATATTTTGTTTTTAAATACGCAAGGCGGACGTTTTGGACGATTGGTGGCGGTAGACTATCCAGGTCTGAGGTTGTAGCAAGATGTGTGCATTCAAGTCAAGTCTTACAAATTTGCATGAACCAAGCTGTAGGCATTATGGGCCTTATGCACAAGTTGGCCACTTTTGTCGTGTTCCCTGAATGTATTTCATAAATTGTGACCTGTTGAATGGGATGGTGTCAGACTATTTATTCACCTTAGCCTCACTTTCATTCTGTTTTAAATGTTGCTTAAAAACATTGGAGTATTTCTAATCACAAATTTTCAATTATTCATTAGAGCTGACTGGTATTAATTTGTAACCGTCATTGCTTTCATTTCTCTCTACACAAGTTCAAAAAATGAAGATTTTACCTCACGCTCCATCCAATATGGCCGACTTGTGAATAAGGCCCGTACTGCTTTCTGTAAGTATTCAGCTATTGCCATCTTGCTAAAACTTCATGGTGTATGGTAGTGTAATATCTGTTGGCGGAATGCCTTTTCTTGTTATCTTGTCATCGCTATACATCTTTCTTTTATTTCAATAAAGGCCCACCGAATTTCTACATATTTTATACCATCTCTAGTGTTTATTTTTTCTCGGGTCTTATGTTGATATGTTGTCGACCTCTTTAAGTTGAAAAAAAAACCAGTTTACGTTTAGTGCTCACTTGATGGTTAAGGAGCATGCACACTGTGACGTTGTCTTTGCCATTCTGCGCAAACTCTGGCCAATAGGAAGCCACGGTCTTGTCCAAGTCAAGTAGACCTTTGTCGACCAAAACCAACATGCAAAGTGCTGCCATGCCTGAAGTTAAAAACAAATCATCTAGTGATTAATATTCATATTTGTGTATTTTTGTATTCATTTTTTTCATTTATTCATTTGATAATTTATTCATTTGATAATTTATTCATACAGTACATGAAGGACATAGGACCCGCGGGTAGGTTCAGAAGAGTTACACATTTTCTTGTTTGCGTTATTAGTGTGCACGGTGCTTCCAAGATGTATGCAATACTAGAATGTCGACACTGCCTGATGAAAATACTAACTGATTCGTGTACTTGATTTCGCTCGACAGGGGGCGCAAGTCAATTGTGCGTACACTGCAGTGGTGGACAAACCATCAGTTCATCGAGTGTTTTGATTCTCACATAAGTATAAAATATCGTTATTGCAAGACATAACGAAAGAGGACTTAAAATATCAGCCATTGCTGTTTTGGAATGCCAACGCCGCTATGGAATATGCCTTAGACATGATGACGTCACCATTTGTTTACATGTGCGCTTTCTTATGGAAGATGGTTGACTCGCATCCCCACCTGGCTCCCACTGGAAACCCCACATGTAAACAAAGCTTGATGTTTCAGCGTATTGAGAAATCTGACATGTGATATAGAGTGCGCTATACGAATGTTGCTGTTATTAATGCTGATCAGTGTGAAGGACCCACCTTTTGTTGTCGAAAAGAAAACTGACATGGTGTCCTCCTTCCATGGCCGTCCTGCCTCACTGTCCGCGTAGCCTCCCCAGATGTCTACAACCTTTGACCCTTTGTAGTACACCGAGAAAGCTGAACCACCCGTGGGGAATTCCACACCTTGCTCGAAATTCTCCCTGACAAATTTACAACAGATATATGCCTATTGACATGAAAGTAGGGGGGAACAAGGGGACACGTCCACCCCCTGCCCAACAATGTTAACTGAGGGGATTCTCAGCAGCCTGTGCCACAAACGGTCTATAGCCCATGACCTGCACTATTCGACGTCCGGTATTTTTGTCTCATAACATCTCACAGCCTGCATGGTCATAAAGAAGTAGGAACTTGATTTAGAATTGCAGTAAACTATCACGAAACAGTGGCTATAAGTAGTATGCATACCTGAAGAGTTTGGCCACCGGTTCGAATCCAGGCTGTACCGTTCCTGCAGTGATGATGGGACGAGTCTTGGTCCAGAGTTGCGGTAGGTACACCGTCAGGACCGCAGTCACACATACCAGGATAGCACTTTTCATGAACGCCATGATTGTAGAGTTCCAAGTTCCATTCGTGTGTAAACTAATCGGTTTACATGTTGTAGCCCATGGCCAGGCTCCTGTCAATGGGCACAAAAGCAGGGAAATAATTTGACCTTCTACAATCGCTCAAAAATCTTGCACCGACGACTGATGCACGTTTTGGTATACTAAAGCATGAATGAGGAAATTTCGTTTCTGATCATGATCTCTCGGTTTCGTTTCTGTGCTGATATACAATATCATGGTCATCGACTCATTAGTGACTCGGCCCGTCAGAGGTCTTATCTCATGTGCATTTATTGAGAGGGGACAGTACAGTCAACCAAAAAGGAAAGTCCCCCAATACTTTTTAGTGTGACTCAAAGACTGAGCATCCTTTGCTCAAATAACGACTAATCAGTACATAATTCCTTAGCAATCCAGCCAAAGTCTTTATTTTACACAAAATAGCGATTTATGTCAAATGATATCCAAAATATAGTTGCACTTATGTACACGTACGTGCAACTTGAGTGTGAACATTATTTTCGTCTCTGATGCAATCTTCCAACTAAAATGTCTTAAATTTAATTTAACAAAATGTTCACACTCAACTTGCACGTATCCTACAGTGATTGCCTTTCCGTGTAGTGCGCCAATGGTAACAACGTAATTTGAGTGACCAAAATCCCCACCCTGGGGCGTGAAAACGTGACCAAATCCCGACATCGGACCTGGGGCATCACGCGTGCAATACCAACTTTATGTTCACTCATTGGGCATGCGCAGTACAGCAAATGAGTCCGTATTGCACAGAGTCAAACTTTCTTATTACACCGGGCTCAAACAGGTTCTGGAAAAGCTAGGGATTAAACAGTTTATTACAATCACAAACAAGCTGAAAAACAGTCACAATTAACACTACACACTATTAATGCATGGTGGATTGCTTAACGAATGAACCGCTACAAAATGTTTTCGCCTGATCACGTTAAGGCTTATTGGTCAGTCGAAAATATTCCGAGTCACTGAACCCATGAAGAAACGACTATGTCAAATGATTGGCTTTATTTTAGCTGGGGAATGAAAAACTGTCAGTATGTACACAAGAAAATAGAAGCAGATGGCTGACTTCGGGAGGCCAATATCGCATGTTATTGCATACTAAAATCAAACGGCACATAATATACCCCGATGATGAAAATTCTTCAAAATATTACGCAGTATCGCCGTACGTTGGTAAATAAAAACCAATCAACCCCCACAGAATAAAATGGTATGTGCCCTTATCAGACTTATTAACCATATGGGATTAATATTAACCTGCGATAGACTAGTACACGTGTATCGATAATTATTCCACATTAGTATGTAGGAACTGCATAATATTATACGCAATCGAGTGAGCGTATTGCTGTTTTCAATTTCAGTTTTTGTTTTGCGTGTGCTGTTCTATGTGTTTACTGGAGCGATAGGTTATTTTATTTCAAGATGGACCAGTTTTGTTCCGTTTACTTCCAATGTTTCCTGGCTGTGAATTTATTTTGGTGCGCATTCGGCATGTGGGAAGAGCCGTCCCTGCATCCATATGTTGATCCTTTGGACAGACAGGAACCATGGAGTAGCGTATCCCTCAGCGTCCTCATCGAGCCAGGAAGGGAGGAATGCTTCCACCAGAGTGTTCGTCAAGGTATCAAATTCGAGCTGTCTTACCACGTATGTTTCTTTCTTTTATTATGATTATTATCATTCTTATTTAATCGGTATGATTATCTTATCAAAGTTATACTTTGCGGTTTTCGTGTTGCAGCATCCACAAAAAAAGATAGGCCTATATAGAATATAAATTATATTGTTAATTTTTGAGCATAATGAGCTTCCAGTTATGAGTTTCCAAACATGCGCCACAACAAAAAAAATAGTTTCAAATAGGCCTAAGGCCTTCGGTGGAAATGGAAGTCTAGCTCCTAGTTCCAAAAAGTAGTTACGACTGGAATGTATGTTGATAATGAATAAAATATGAACGCATTTCAAAAGAATTTATTTTTGAAGGTCAAAATCCAACGAGCGTGCATAGGTTATTGGAGGATTTTTAATTAATTCAATATAATTTTCTTTAATTAATTGACACAAAGAAATTTATGAAATAAAGTTTTTGAGGTTACATAGATTATATGTCTGTATACCTTATGTAAGTAAAGTGTTAGCTTTGAGCCTTGAATGAAAACTTCACGTGATTTACATGTGTTCAAAAACCTGTCCGCGCCGTTATTGTTTTCAAAAACATTTCAGCCGTACACACGAAACCCCTTAAGGACTTTCATTCATAGCACGACTGGACACTCGGTTTTGGAACCAAATTGAAACTATTAATTAACTGAATTATATCAAGTGAAATGACACGTTGTTTTTAATTCACAAGGCTACCAGTAAAGATGTTCACAATAACATGCGGGTGGTCGTACGGACCGAGAGAGGAGAGCGACTCTACGCGTCCTACGTTCAGGTAGAGGATCGATTTCAGACTGTGGCCAGCAGAGACGGTAAGTAACATAACACAGTCAAACAAAATAAACACAATCCAACAAACAAACAAACGTCAAACCCACAAACGTCAGTATTAGTCTAATTTTGGATGTTGTTCCACTTGAATGCGGCCTGTTCCGATATACCTGGCGAGCGCGAGGTCACGCCGCCGTGGCGATATAGAGGGCGCTATCAATCAAATGAATGGAATCAGGTGTTGGGAACGTTGGCACTTATAGACCCGGGAAATGGTCAGAGTGCAAAACGCTCGTGTAGATCGGATTCATCTTAACCCCCCCCCCCCCCCCCCAACAAACAAAAACAGAATCATTAACAACCTGCACATCAATGTCACGAAACCGTGAGTTTTCACTCACTATTTCTCTTCGTTAAAGGGAATATACATCATTTGCTTTTGCTGTAATTTTCAGAAATGGATGGAATTGGGGGGTTGGAAATATATAGCAAATATAGTTACACTGACTTTTTTGAGGTTTTGGGTTCGAAAATGCTATAAAAACCAAGAAACACAATCATTTTCCTGTAGTCTGGTTCCCTGACTCCATATAAGAAGAAACAGAGCAGTTTACATACATTGGGGAATTGTAAGGTCAGGGAACCAGTCTAGCTGGCTTGTACCTGTTCATAGGTGTGTAATCGATTGCAAACGAGTGCGATGGTCAATTGGGGCCAGTATTTGAAAAAAAGCCAGTCGGCCGACCAGCGTTGGAAATTGATACAAAAATACCACTTTTCTTGAAAATGACAGTATACCAGGTGCCATGATTTTACAGGATGCTTTACACTGTCATTCACTAACAGTCCAGCAATGTATTTCAAAATGATTTGGTAGTTTTATTTTTTGATGTTTGCAAATATTGTATTTTCCCTTTAACTCGTTCAGCACTCTACACGATATGCTTTGGCAACCAAGGCTCTCGACGTTATGCCAGGTTGGTTTCCATGACAATCGACATGATGGAAGAAGCCAAAGTCAAAGAGTATTTCCGGCTAAAAGCGGAGACGGAGGGCCACTTAGTCAACGCCTCTGTGAGTAGTTATATCATTCGGTTACTTTCAGTGTCAGTATGGCGGCTCTAGAGGGGCAACCCCCCCCCCCCCCCGGTCGTTTAGTCGCTGACTAGAACTAGTGAAACGCCTCTAAAACGAGCACCGCTATAACGAACTCTCGGCTATAACGAATATCTCCTTTGGCTCCCAAAATAGAAAATTATATTGTAATGCACAATCACTTTAACGAACGATCACTGCAAGGAACGGCATGGTCCCAATCTCTCAGTGGAGTTCGACTAAAGGCCTAATATTTTGAGAGTTTGAAACTAGTAAATCATGGGGACCAAGAATAACAAACGGAGTACTAACTGAGTTCCAAAATTACTTTTTGACTTTTTGAGGAGAAATCATCGTAGATTTCAACACTCTCCGGAGCATTCCCCCAGAACCCAAGGAGTACGGGGAGGTGTCCTGGACTTGAATGTATTGTTATAGCTTGTGGCTAGCCATTAGAGCGTCTCAATTGTCTTGTACCTCCGAGTCAGCTTCACCTCTAGCGAATCAGAAGCATGCATGTCCGAAAAAAAGAAGAAACTTTGGCATTTGAGTATACTAGTATGTTGCTTGAGATCAACAGTGATTGAAAGGAGGAGCTTAATTTCTTGAAGCCGCTACAACAGACAATTAAACCACGCCTCGCTATTCGTTTTAAATTATATTATTAATTTTAAAGCCTGAAGAAAACCTCTAGAGATGAGCCAGTGAGAAGAAATTACAGTTTTTAGAGGTAAGAGGAAAAGATATTCTGGGGAAAACCCACTGATTCAGGCAGGGATTGAAAACCAAATGTTGGCCCAGGCCGGATTCGAACCCGGGTCACAGCGGTGCAGGGCGAGGAAAGTACCGCTACGCCAACTTGACTCCCCATTGCTAACAGAGAACACGAAGTCGTGTTATTAATTTCTTTCTCACTTTTTGTTTCTTTTCTTGGTGGGTAGGAATCTGTGGGGAGAATCTGGAATTACCTGTGGCGTGCTTCTCGGGAGCAGTTCCGACTGCGGGTGGGCATGGGACGCGACGAGGCCTTCATGATGAACAACAACGACTACATCTTGTACTGGTCGGTCGCCCAGGCCTTCATCATCGTGACGGCCGGTGTGGTCCAAGTCTGGGCACTCAGGAGCTTGTTCAAAGTGAAAGTTCTGACGCCGTCACAGAAACCAAGATGCTAGCTGGGATGAAAGGGCTCAATTTCGTAGGTGTACGATTTGAAACAAATAGGTATACCCCAGTCCCTATTCCCTGTACACATTCTTCTGCTGGTCAAGTCCAAGAAAAATTCCGGTTTTTGACTCATACGTAAAGCCATGTTTTCTGTAATGACATCATTATTATCGCAAAGACTTATCACATAAAATTTCGTGTGGGTGTTCTCCTTGCAAATGCCCAACAGTAAAATAAAACAGACCAAAGACAAAAGTGGAAGGGGAAGTTTAGCAACTTACGGTGCTCAACATAACTGAGATTTAAAGCACCAGTCATAATAAGCATGCACAATGAATGTCATTTTGGACGGCATTGTTTTTGCTAAGATAAGAAAAAATATTTCCTGTGCTCGGCGCCATTGTTGGTGCTTAGCCGCTCCTTGAATTTGTCTGCATGACATCTTGCCTTTCAAACCAAACAGCAGGTTTCAGATAAGTATCGGCAACGAGGGTGCCAGTGGTTCATTGATGACGAGTATTTAAAACAAAAGCTCTTCCGTGTCCAACAGTGCCCGTACTCTAAGAGCCTCGTCTTCGCTACTGATTTGAAATTCGGCTAGATTACATAAACAGTCTGATCTGTAGAGGAAAGAGCACGTGCTCTTTTGAAACAAAATGGGGCATGTGAAGCTAAAGCGAGAACTGTACACTCATCACAGAGACCAGATTATTATTTGAAACACGAAGGACACAAGGAGGGAGCTATTTGGAGTGGGCACCATCATGTAAATGCAGAGAGCGCCCTCATATTGTGTCCACCATTATCACCAAAGGGATGGTGCAGACCTTCAAATCGACTCCCATAGACCTCAGTAATAATTACGCGTACTTCCGAAAATTATTTTAAAAAATACAACTCTCCGAGGTGTTTCAGATACCCATCCAATTCTTTCAGTTTCTGTGGCTTGTTTTTCAATTATCCGATGACTTTGGGGAGAAAATTCCATCAAAATATGATCATTTCAAAAAGCAGTCCTGTGGTCCATCGCCATTTTGGAAAATAATGCCTGCACTCAATTGCAAAATAGAGCAATTTTAGGGCCCAATTTCATGCGAATTTCCCAGAAATACGGGCTCACACTCTTGTGCACGGCTTCCACCCATCGTTTTCGCAAACCTTCAATGTTAATGGCCCACGTAATGCTCCGATAGCAAAGAATTTGAGGGCATACAGATTGTGATTTGGCCCTCGTAGGGATTTCTGGGCCTATTTACAGGTCTTTGACTTTAAGGCCGAAGGTACAGTGGTAGCTAATACAAAGCAACTTAACGATGATAATTTTCGTAGTTGCCGGATCGGACGGAAAAGGAACGGGGCATCCCTATCAAAAGTCCATCTTATATTCTTCACAAATCAAATTCGCTTTTAACACTAACCAAACAGAGATAATTGATTTACATTTTTAAACACTATTATGCATTATTTCAGCAATAACATGTGCATTTTTTAACTTATAAAAAATTGTCTTCCTTTTCATATCTCACGGCATCTTTTAGCATAGTTTGTGGTGGGTTTCAAAACTTTAGAAATTTTCTTTCTTGAATTTTGCATGATTAACACTATTTCTTAATTAGTGGGAGTTATAGTGGATCCAATTTTTTTCCAAACTTTTTAAAGTGTGTTTTGTGGGTGAGTGCTCTGGTTTAATCATGTAGGTTTGTGCGGTGACTTTTGTTAGTTCATTATTTTTAACATGATTGTATTTCTAGTTTTTTTGTGAATCAAAATCTTCCATATTTTCAAAACAGCGATCTGAAATCAACCGTAGGCCTATCCTAGAGTAAATAATGCCGATATACCAGCTGTTCGTTCCTATTTTTATTTTTTTTTGTAAATGTTAATGTGCATGGTTCACCCAATCGGGAAACTGACTGTATGCCTTCGTTTCTGATATTTTAAATAAACGTTAAAGAAAATCAGTGAAGTCAATTTGTTGTTACTATGCCGCCAATTTTTGATTTACCTCAAAAGGTAATACATATAAAATTCGCTTGATTATGCGCTACACATACTGTCGTTTATATATTTTGTATAACAAGTGACACCAAACAATAACATTATCATGGACTTTCCTTCCGAATTTGATGCGACAACTGCCTTTTTAATTTCTTTAAATTCTCAAATCTTTTACAACACTGAAATGTACAGCACACACATAGTAACCACGAGATTTGGCAATCGATACAAGTTCGTCACCTATCTTTACAACTACAAGCCTTTTGTTCGTACATGTACTTCTGATGACAATAATAAGGCAATTCAAACAGAAGTTGTGTCATACAGTAACGGCGTAGCTACGGGGGGGGGGGGGGGGGGGGGCGCGCACCCCATAAAAAATTTGCGCCCCCCCGGTCGTTTCCCCCCCCCCCCCTCCCACTGAAACTCGGGCAACTTGGTCTAGGCTAATGTAGCCACGTTTTGAACGGCGCCCACATGGGAAGATGGTGTCCAGCCCCTTTCGGATTTTCACAGCCGGGCATTTTTTGGATTTCGATCATTCCCCCATCCAACCCCCCCCCCCCAATCGACGGCACAGATTTACGCCACTGGGTGGAGCAAAGACTGTCTGCGGTTTTCCCCGGTTCTTTTCAGAACCACACAACGACACAAGCTCAAACAGAAACTTCTTGTCACATGGTGCTATTGCAAACTAACTTTTACTGAAACTGTCTGAAAATGTGTTCTTTGTTGAGTGGTTGTTCAAATTATAAGTTATATGTTTCTAGTCAATTTTCCCTCCCATCATTTTAGCAGCACTACAGGCCATTGCCAATTCAGGGAAGACTTCAAATCAATCATCACATAAAACAGGAGTAAGTTGACATTTTATTTTTCTACCTAGACACAGAAAGATTTAATATTAGGTTTTGCCCTCCACCGACGTATTTTTATGAAGGGGACGTCTCTTTAGTCCGAAGTACCATTGGTCCGACGTCCCACTGGTCCAAAGTCCCATTGGTCCAACGTCCCATTGGTCCAACGTCCCATTGGTCCGAGGTCCATTGGTCCGATGGCCCATTGCTCTATACGTTCCATTGGTATATACGTCCCATTGGTCCGACGCCCCATTGGTCCGAAGTCCCATTAGTCCGAAGTCCCATTGGTCCGATGGCTCATTGCTCTATACGTTCCATTGGTATATAAACGTCCCATTGGTCCGACGTCCCATTGGTCCGACGCCCCATTGGTCCGACGCCCCATAAGATTGGGGTTAGGGTTAGGGTCAATCAACCTGAACCAGTGGAACTACACAGTATTATGTTTCATCGGACCAATGGGACTTCGGACCAATGGGACATCGGACCAATGGGACATCGGACCAATGAGACTTCTGACCAATGGGGCATTGGACCAATGGTACTTCGGACCAATGATACTTCAGACTATCGAGACGTAACCTCTTATGAATACACAGAGAGATGCTACATTGTATGTGTACATGTACGTCTACATGTACGTACTACATGACTCAATTAGGCTAACAACTTTGTGCACAAATGCCCCCTCCACTAAACATGTGACGTTGCATTTAATTTTTTTAACGTTTAGCGAATCAAACATGACTGGCTTTGTTTAAATGGAATGGCTTTTGGGAATGGAGTTCAGCTTTGGGAACAAACTATATAATATCTTCACTATAAAAACAAGCCAAAATTGAATTACTCATAAAGTTTGTGAGTTATCAACATGATTCACAGCTTTCTAATCTGATTGAAATTCTTTTAGGATATCATGGAACAGGAAAGGTTTTTTTTCATCCATTTTCATTTGGAAATCAGTCATCAGTTCATGACATACTCAATGACTTTGGAACACTGTTTTGCACTGTTTCTATGATTTAATTTGTCACTCTTGAAACATTAATTTTTGGGGGGTTATATTCCTATTACCAAGAATAGTAACTTAGCTAATTAGGGAGACATTTTCATAGGGTTATTTACAAAAATGTTCACACTTTCATGACCCCTTACTCCCATTTTACCTGAAATCATACCCAATGTTGTAGTCGAGTACTTTTTTCTGAGTCCCGAATACAGCCGAGTACTAAGGTTACCGAGTACGAGTACAAGTACATGTACAGGTCTCCGTGTATGAGAACTTGTACCTCCGAGTTGGTTCATTGCGAGTAATTGGCCCAGAAGGCAGAGTTGCAGTTGAACAAGAGAAAGTATTGAGGATGTACCACTTTTTTTTTTCTTTTCATTCTTCTGAAGAACGACATTGGAAATAATGGTGACAGAAGAATTGTCTGGCCAAGTTACAGACCTGGCCATGGTATATAACTGAACATTCATTTGGTGACAACAATGCAAGTTTCAAAATTTCTATAACATTCACAGAGAGGATTTTTCTGCATGTAAATGCGAAGGTTTCAAAATAATTGCAGCTATGTCAAAAAACCAAGGTCACTATTGGCTGTTTTCAATTTTTTTCTCATGAAAAGCACTGAAATTTAACCTGAGTCTTGTTAAAATATGAGTAAAAATTAGGTTGCTTTATTTCACTTACTTTGCTCAATGAAAATTGATGAACTGTCAAGGTTAAAGTATCTTTAATATGTAAGACATTCTTTAGTTTTATAGACACTTGAATTCACATTATATACAATGAAGATGGGTTTGGTTTCAATTGATAGAGCAAACCATCAGCTACAAGACGGTTTCATACTGTCCTCTGTCATTTCAAACAAGTACGACAGTCGCCCAACTCTCTTCACGATATCGTAAGCCATCTCATTGGCTGCATTTACGACAGACGGATCAATATGGCGGTTCATCAGCAGCAGTTGTAGGCAGTCTTTGGCTTCGTTGTTGGAGGCAGCTAGGTGTAGCGCAGTCTGGCCGCCGTTCGTCTGAGCATTGATGTCGCTGCCGTTCTGCAGGAGGATCGACAGGACAGAGGCATTGTTCCACCGGGAAGCACAATGAAGCGGGCACCAGCCGTCCTCGGTCTTGGCGTTGACGTTAGCATTATGCTGCAGTAGCAGTTCCACCATGGACGCGTGCCCGTTATACGCTGCGCGGTGCAGCGGCGTGTAATCATCCTCGTCTTTGGCATTGACTAACGTCGCCTGCTGGGCAAGCAGCTCCTTGACAATATCTATCTCGTTATTCTCCGCTGCCCACAGAATTCTCTTGTCCGTGTCATTCTCGACGTCTTCGTCGATCTTCTCCTGTTCCTCCTCGCTCTCATCCCAGTGCGACTTGGAGCTGCCGCGTCGCTTCCGCTGCTGCGATTCCATGACGCTCAGCAAAAAGTCAGTGTGCTTACGACAGTCCTCCTCATCCTGGAAGCCCCCGTTACCGCCGTAGCCTTCTTGGAGGACGGATTCAACCGCCTCCGCGAAGACATTATCCTCCGGTTCCTCGCTCTCCTCTTCAGCCTCCTCTAACTTCTGAGTGCCCACGTCCTCCACCAGCGACTTCTGGCGGGTGGGCGTGGTCGGCAGGAGGGTGGAGGTGAAGGCGATCTGCGGACAGCTCAGCCGCCTCTTCTGGTGCTTCTCCAGCTTCTCGTGCATGTCCAGCTGGTTCAGACTCTCTAGGCTGCCGCTAAGCTCCTCAGTCTGTCTCAACATCATTGCGGGGTCTCGTCAAGCCACTCCCTCACAAAGATAAGGATGACGGAGCAGAATCAGTCAGCTAATCTGGTTCCCCATTGATGCCTAGATGACAACAAAAATACAAAGTAAGGATTAAGAGTCGTTTCTTTTCAGCTTTCGTTCTTACCCACAGCCATATCAATGCCTCTATCCAAGGGTGCTGATTACCACAAAAAAATTGTCAAGGAAATGCAGACTTTGCAATGCACAGCACAAAAAGTTAAGATGCCATCTGCACCCTTTGATGTGAAGATCATATTGAAAAATTAAAACATGCTAATATGGGGGTGGAATTAAACACAAACAGTGATACAACAATCCTTTTGTTTTCCTTCGATCATCAGCTCTTGTTCTGCCATGATACATAGAAAGAATCAGAAAAAGGTTTACTCAAAACCACTGCCATCTGATTCAGCTTTAACAGATAAGGTCTATTGATGGAGCTCATCTGAGTTTTCGTGGACATAATTTAGTAAGCTGTCGGAAATTTCTGACATGCGACTGTAATTTTGCCCTCGGCACAAACAAAACTGCGTATGGACAGTTGGAATGAACTGTCATGAAAAATCACCTTTTCTCATCTTCGCACGTACTTTACCGCATCTGCAAGCCTTCAAATGAGTAAGGATGACAACAGAAATGACGCGAGAGTGGTAAATTATACAGATGTTTGTGATTAGCTTGCCAACTGCGAAATGTCAGGCACTAGATCATAGTTCATACATGTATCTCACTCAGTGAAATGTACCGGTATACATGGACATGTTCCTACAATGTATTAAACCTGACAAATTCTTCTAGCTAACCAGTGGCTTATCCAGATGATTTTTTTTTCATAGGTATTTTTTAGTATCTATTTCCATAAAGAAAAAGAAAACCAATTAAGCTCCAAAACCATTACAATTACAATGCACCGTGAACATTGGCATATATTTTCCAGTATGCATAATAATGGTCAGTTTTGAAGAGCGCCCCCATTTGGAAGATGGGTATCAGCCCCCAGCCCCCCCCCCCCTCCCACTTTTGGATTATTTAACCAACACCCTTTAACATTTCGGCACAGATGTCCCCCCCCCCCCCCCCGACATCAAAAGCTGGATACACCACTGAGCAATAACCCTTTCTAAAATGACACAATGCACTTTTAGCACCACACTGAATAAATTTCAATATGGATATTGAAATTTATACAAACACAAGGCAACCACAGTGAAACCAAAAATGTATATTTTGTTGACCCATGATATTTCATTGTTCACCAAAATCATCCAAAATATCATTTTTCTCATGACATGGGAGCTGCACCGTATTTCCTTATTTTGTTCTCTTTAGATGAATTTTAGAAGTTAGCTCGGTTTAAAAACCAACGGTGGTGTTACTGTTGAAATTGACAATTAATTTCATGTTGGAAATTCTCACACTGGTGATAAAAAAAACCTTTTGATTCAGAAATCATCATCTTGCAGACACAGGTACTTGGTTGGGGGTCCTCCAAAATATTCCATCTAGGAAATTTAAACTGGAGGTGTAGTGTGGTGAGAATGGTCGAGATTACGTTTTGTCACAAAGAGCATTCTAAAGGAGTCTGGGTTGGTGAGGTGCACACCACATATTTGTTGTCAAGAAGAAACAATGTTAATTTCTACCCAAGCACAACAGACATTCAACTAGCAATTCTCAAAATACATGTGCACACATGCAGAGATGCCAACTTTACAGACTACAAAATAGTAATGATTCTTCCTGCAAAGAGTAATTAATGTAAATACATAGGGGAACAGTCAAGTTTAAGAGTAACCACAGTACTTTTCAGAGTAACCACAATGTTGGCGTATAGGACAGCTGGAAATTTTCAAGAGTAGTAACATGCCTCAAAATCCTAATAATTACTCCAGAAGAGTAATGGTTGGCATCTCTGCACATGCAGGTATAAAATACCACTGTACCTACCGGAATGCAATGTACGTGTACATGTACTAAGAATAGCAACTTATTATTTGGAACACTTATTTCATATGCTAATAAGTGGGAGCGGATCAATGCACAAACTGAAAAGTTCTGAGCTGATGACTAGGACCTGTGGCACTGCAATGCATAGGAACACTAGGTGGAGTTTTCAGACAACACCCTGTTTGTGAACTGTGCAGTGACTCGTGTACACAGTGTAGGTGTATACTCCTCTAGTGCAAGTGCGTCACAGTACAGTCCGATTGCCTTCCCAACAAAACTTTGGAGAACAAAGTTTTAGGCATACTCTTCATGAAGTTTATGTACTAAAACACTAACCAAGATGGCTATTTTGGATCAGCACTGCTTCTGCTGCGTGCCTCTGCGCCAAGGGGCTCTTGTGTCCAGCATTCTTTTCTTGGTGAGTGACAAAAATTAAGGTGGAAAGTTCTTGGTTGGCATTGGAATGCATGTCATTCAAAGCACCTTTTGATTTGGAATGGGCATACAACAGTGCGTGCTGGGGTCATGGCCTAATGAGGACATGTACAAGGGTGTGCCACAAAAGAAAATAGCAAATAGGAAATGTTGATGAAAATGTAAGCTTAAAATCTTTTGAACATAAAGAAAAGTTTTAAGACTAATATTTGGGCTCCTTCCCTATGGGTGAATTATGCCTGATCACACTAAACAAGGGTGTGCCAGCCAGAAAAAAAATCCATCTGAACCGACAGAACAGGAAATAAAGAGTAAATTATTAAAATATTTTCAGGTTCTCCATTTTTGGTTTAATTCCCATTCAGATTCCAAACTGTCAGTTGTATTTTGAACAAGATTTGAAACATGGCGATTGTGTAGTGTATAGGGCCCCCATAAATTGCTCAAATTAGAGTCAAGGATGTTGTGTCATTCCAAAATAACTTTTTGACCCTAAACTAGCCCCATAAATGTGGCCTATTTACTGGACTGCCTCCGTAAACATAGGCCACACATCCACATGTACAAAAATCGTGTCGACTTTGCCAAATTTTGATTTTCACATTTAGGCTTAGTTTGTAGGGGTTTTTTTGCTTTAGAAGCATACTCACCCTCTATATAGGCTAATCAGAAAGTGCTGCCTTTTTCAGATGTATATTTTTCGTGAAATTTCCAGATTCATTTTTACACGTTTGCGTATCAAAATTTCAACACGAAATTTCACAAAAATTAGACATCTGAAAAAGGCAGCACTTTCTGATTAGCCTATAAAGAGGGTGAGTATGCTTCTAAAGCAAAAAAACCTTCAAACTAAGCCTAAATGTGAAAATCAAAATTTGGCAAAGTGCGACACATTTTTGTACATGTGGATGTGGCCTATGTTTACGGAGGCAGTCCAGTAAATAGGCCACATTTATGGGGCTAACCCTAAACATGCTAACGCATGTAAAGCAGACTTCTCTCAATATAATTACACTTTTTTTTTTGTAATTTTAAACAGTTCTAATCTGAGGTACATGTAGAAATATAGATTTTCGTACGCTTTTTACGGTTGGTGCCATGCGATTCAGCGTGATATTGTGCCTTCACGGTACATCGCTGTGATTGCCATCTTTATTTCAGTGTTGCGTTTTCTCGTCGTCATCGTCATTTTACTCCAACATTTCCCTCAAAATTTCAAAAACCTGCCCTTTATCTTCGCCACACCTGTTGTTCTTAACGTCGCCAACTAATTTGGTAAGTCAAATAACTTAAAAGTTATAGGGAACAGGGCCCTACACAACACAATCGCCTGAAACATTTTGTCCCCGTACTAGGGAGGGGGGGGGGGCAATTCATCCTAAGAATCTGGTCAGCAACCAGTACATGTAGTAAAATCTACATTTACATGTAATATCTGTTATTATGCACCAAAAGAAAAATGAAAGTCTAACAACCTGAAACCTCACATAGCTCATTGAAAAAAAAAAAACGAAACAAATTTTAGGTGCTGAAAAGTCCTGGAAAGTTTCTAGAGAATGGTCAGACCTTTTTGTGTGTGTGTTGAATAGCAATTTATCGAGGATGGCATGATGCGTTTCAAAGTATTTTCTAACAAGATATAAAACGTTTCTCCATCCACAATGCATGTTTTTAACCTTTCTGCAATGAAAAACATACATAAAGAAGATGGGGCAATTAATGATGAAAGTGTCGAAACTTTTTATAAGATGGAATTTTCGCAGACGAGATGTAAAGTTACATCTGTACCAGTAAGCAGCAGTCCCACCTGAGAAAGCTGGTGACTTTTTCCTTGCAAGTCCTCGGACAACACTGAGCAGCCAGTGTTGTAGTCGAGTACTTTTTTCCGAGTACCGAGTACTGCGGAGTACTTACACACTGTAGGTTGCCGAGTACGAGTACCGGTACAAGTACTTGTACATGTACCTTCGAGTACAAGGACGGGTCCCTGAGTACGAGTACTTGTACTTCCGAGTACGAGTACGAGTACTGATCGCATAAATTTCCGAATACGGCCATACGGCAAATGGTTCATTGTGCGTAATTGGCCGAGGCCCAGTCAGACCGATATACAGACCCACTCATGGCTAGCTGTTAAATGTGTTTGTCCGGACTTGCACAGAAGAAAATCAGGAAATCTTGATTTCTCAACAAGCCAATCAACCATTTCAAACTGAAAGTATGGATAAAATAAGGCCATGGTAAGTGAAGCTATAACATTTTCCCCCGAGTACTGCTTTTCGAGTACGAGTACTTTAATTAATGATCGAGTACAATTTCGACATGTCGAGTACGAGTACTTTGCTGCCCGAGTACGAGTACTGTCATTTCGAGTACGAGTACTTTGACATTCGAGTACGAGTACGAGTACGAGTACTACAAAAAAATTTACTCGAGTAGTACTCGAGTACGACGAGTACCGAGTACGAGTACTGCAACACTGTGAGCAGCATTCGTCGGCACAGGGCAAACCAAATATACAAAAACAACAGGTGTCAAGATACATGTACATCATTCTTTTCAAAAAAGATGTTTGACATGTGTTTTCCATGTGGATTATTCTGAAATATCTAAAGCCAAATAAAAAAAATAAACACTGTCAACAGTGCTAGAATCATTAATGCATGTTTCTAAACATCATGATCATAAAATATCCAAAGTCTACAATTTGGCATAACACTGAAACAATACAATTGATTTGACTTGATTTGATTTGATTTCAGTTGGTGTCTGCAGCCACCGCCCTTCTGTATGTATGGGGTCTCTTGGACCTTCTGCAACAGGGCAACAAGTTTGCAACGCAACCACATGAAACCGGTGAGTTGTTGCAATAACTCTTCCACCGTTATTAGCACAAATAGGGGCTTAAGACAGCAGGTTAGCTGTGCAACCCCTAGGAACCTGCAAAGACCAAGATTTATTAGCCCTAACTCCCTCAACATGTTTGCTGGGATGTAACCTCAATCCTGCATAATCATCCGTTTGCCTCAATGTAAAAATTGCTTACAGCCTCAAATCATCCATTATTTATTTTTCTTAGCCATGTACTGTAGTCTCAATCCTGCAAAATCCTCCAATTTGCCAAGAGGATTTTGGAGGATTTAAATTCTCCAAAAATGTCCACAAGGCAAAGACAAGGTTCTCAGTAGTTCACCAGCCAATTACATGTAAGTTTGAGGTTTCAATTCAAGTTATAAAAGGGATTTTTCTTCAACATTTTGAACCAGAGGGTAAAGCCAAGTGATTTCGATTTGAAGCCTAAGACTATTATTTACATGTTTCCACCCAACCTCGTCCCCGGGTGTCGAACAGTACGCGCCCATCACTACCTGCTCTCTCACCCTGGTATTGGATCATTTGCATGTGCAAGATTTTTGAACACGTATACATGCAAATGAGGAACAGTCTGGTGCCTGGATATGCGTTACATTAGCATTTGTTTTTGTATGTGGTGTCTGGGGTAAAAGCAGTCAATTCGTCGCAGTGCGAGCACGGCATGAGTCACGAAAACACATTTTTTTAAATTAAACTGTTACGATCTTATCGAGACAACATGCAGTATCACATTTCATATTAATATGAGCAAATTGGGAAAGGAAATCAGTATTTTCGAGAAGGCGTGGACGAATGATTGTGAAAACATGTACTGCACGTTGTGAATAATAGCACCAAGTACACGATAAAAATCCATTACTAGCCAATTGCGGTATCGAATCAGGATACAGGAAGAAAGTTTCCTATCCAGGGCTTACTATTGGAAACAAGGTTGGAAATAAAGTGAGCACTGGGGACAAGGTTGGTTTCCACCTTTCTGAAAAAGATTGACTACAGCAGTCTGGTGGCTTGTATGGATAGTATTTATACAAATAGAGACTGGGTACCAGACGTGTCATTTGACTTCCTTTACTTCCGAGACAGTGTGTGGACTGTGCCAGTCTATTTTCTTGTGCTGCATGTTTTCACTATCTTCAGTTCTGGCACAATTTTACACAATATGGAGAGTCACAAATTAAAGTCAGTCACAATGATGCACAGGTTCCCAATGCTGGTCTAAATTTGAGACCATAATCAACAGTCTCCCAAAGTTCTTTTAGTGACAGCGATGCAATCTTCAATTTGCCTGGATCATTGGCTATAGGGTTACAATCTCATATGATGATGATGATTCTGCTGTGATTTTTTGTGATTGATAATTTATTTTCAAAAGCTGGAATAACAGGGGAAAAAAACCAAGAAACTGGAAACAGCTTACATGGCTAAGGCGCCGATCAACACTATGCTCGTACTTTTGGCATTTTTAGTAGTGGAAACATTTATTTCAATGTTGCCATTTCCACACAATACATGTAAAATGTTACAATGCCGTGTAAACATATTATACATGTACAGAGCAAAATGCAAGGAGTTATGTAATTGTGTATAATAATGTACATGGATCAATACTACAATGTAAAACAAATTTACGACAACATTTAGGTATAAGGTGAAGCGTCACGCTTTTGTACCCTAACCTATCGACAGACAAGTAGACATGATTGAGAAAAACAGAGACAGTGACAAAGGACAAAATGGACAACAGTGAGACACACAAAGACACAACCTAGAAAAACACAAACTGGTATGAGACGAGGGCATACATCTAGATTCTTAAATTATAACTATTTAATTATTATAACATGAAAATTTTGTCATTACAAAATGTAAAGTGTCATGCAGCAGCATGGCTTTGTACACATTCAGAAAAAAAATAGTTGCGCGTACTTTGTGCTATTGGAGTATGTATGTGCTATGGGCTCCGTGCGCCGACGAAAGAGGGCGCCCTTAGATATTATTTAGATATGAGTGACTTGAGGTAATTGTGATTTTGAGGTGATTAAATATTGATTAGACCTATACAATGATTTTGTGATTTGTTACAGCCACTCTCGTTCTGACGTACATCCTGATTGGTCTGCACGGAGTTGTCATGATTCTGGCTGCTATCATCATGTTCATTGGAGCATTTTGTGTAAGTTTGATTACATGTGTAAATGACAAACTGCTGAAATTATTTCACGTAAGGCCTACACTGTTTATGAAATTTAAGTTTACAATCCATGATAGTACCATACTGTGTAACAGAAAAGGTTAAACATGAAAGGATGCCTACGCATGAACCCTAACAGAACTCAACCCATCAAACCCCAACGGCATGTTTTGTTGGAATATGCCAGGATGGGTACAGTACCCCTAAACTGACAGTCTTTTACATTGGGTTGGCACACCTCCAGAGACGAAGTCAGAAATATGTGTGTGCAGTTTCCCATATGGTGTTGGAATTTGCCAGGATGGGTATATGGTTCCTAGTAAATAATGCTGGGAGTTAGGGTTAATTAATGTCACTCGGAATGTGATTTGAAAGACGTATACAAAACTGGACTTTTAGAATCTTTTAGTCACATGCACACGTATATAGTGATTTACAAGTACCTTTGCTTCATAGTCAAAATATAGAGTGGACAAATGAAATGATTGACACATATGGTTATTATGTGCTTTGGAACTAGAGCATGGTCAATACTTGCAATTTGAGTGCATCATAAAGAGTACATGCACGTTGTGGAAGAATGAATCAAAAACATATAATAACCAAATTTAGTACATGTACCTCATCTCAATGATCTCATGATTGACACAGATGACATGTTTGTTGCTGAAGTATAAACTCAGATTTCTTGTATACAATGATGTGGGCGCAAAGCTTACACGTTGAGCGAAAGAGTTCATAAAAAAAATATCTTACATAAACCCTAACCCTGCTGCATCCAACAGGATCCAACTATGTCACATACCCGATGGAGCCTGTTGGATTGAGCAGTTAACCCCTTGTGTACATTCCTCATGCAAAATGTTGGATTCAGCAGGCAACTGAACCGCATTATAACGCATTGTTGGACTCCGTTGGATTCAGCAGACAACTGAAACTGAGGCACAGTGGATTGAACAGGAAAGTCCGGTTGGACTCTGTTGGATTTAGCAGGGTAGTCCTGAGGAAGTACAGTCGACCCTCGTTAGTACAAACTCTGTTAATACAAATTCTGATTATAACAAACATAAAGCCTTGGTCCTGACTGTGCATTTATGTGCACAATGAGTGGGGCTGATGATGTTCCTCTTAGTACAAAATTCTGATATAACAAACAATTTGGCTAGGTCCGAACGAGTTTGTATTAACAAGACTCGGCTACAGGTACTAGAGGTTTAGGGTTAATGTGTTGAGTGCATTGTCTGTCCTATTACAGAACAGCGCAGGATCTGCTGCTTTCTTCAGTGTCATCCTTGCCATCGGGACGGTGATTGAGCTGGGCTATGTGGTGTACCTGGGCATCATTACCGATGATCAGCTTGGGGTATGACACTCATACATTATTAATAGTTTTTTTTTTTTCTCCAAAAAGTGATACAATATAATATCCATTTGAAAAAAAGTGAAAAAGATGCTCAGTTATTTCAACTTATAGAACACACACAGATTAAGAGCTGTTTCTTAAAGGGAAGATACAACATTTGCAAACATCAAACAACGAAATGATCAAATTATCACAAAATATCTTACTGGATTGTTACGGAATGACATTCTAATAAAGCACCCTGTAAAATCGTGGCTCCTGGTGTGCTGACATTTTCAAGAAAAATGGTATTTTTCCAACGCCGGTCGGCCGAACAGCGTTGGAGAAAACTGCTGTTAATTTTTCATAATAAGATTTTCTGCATTTTCTTTGCAATTGATTACACACATGTGAAGGGTACAAGCCTGCCGGACTGATTCTCTTCTGACCTAACAATTCTTCAATTAAAGTCAAACTGCTCCGTTTTATCTTAAGTGGGGCCAGGGAACCAGACTACAAGAACATGATTTTTTTCTTTGTTTTTGCAGCAGCTTCAATCCCAAAACGTGAAACAAGTCAGTTTGACAATATTTTCCATAACACTCTAAGCCCCCAAATCCATTTACTACTAAATATTGCAGCAAGAAAAAAATGTTGTACCTCCCCTTTAAAAATACAATTTTTCACTCTTAGTATTCATTAGCCTTTAGTTGTGTTTACCTATACATGTATAACAGCAATCTAAACTGATTTTTGGCAACCACAGGAGGGCAGGTTTCTAAAATGTCACAAAATGGTGTTAATGTGTTTTGGAAACAAACTCTTCACATGTCTCTACCCCGAAACACATGCTCTACAATCTTCGAGTCAGAGCGGCAGTTGAACATATGAAGAGCAAGGGACAAAAGAACCAAGTCATTAACCCTAACCGACCTCACTCCTCCAAAATCCTCCTGGCGGTTTTGGAGGATTCTAGAGGATTGAGGATGAATGGTGATTGAATCAAATGAGGATTCTGGAGGATTGAGGATGAATGGTGATTGAAGCACATGAGGATTTTGGAGGATTGAGGATGAATGGTGATTGAAGCACAAGAGGATTTTGGAGGATTGAGGATGAATGCATTTTGAGGCAGGACTGTCTGACAATTTTGAAAAATTTAGGCGGAGTTGCAAAATTTTGGAGGATTGAGGATGGTTGTAAGCAAAAAGGGCCTAGGGGGTTAGGGTTAATTAAGGTAAATTATCATGATAATTTCATATTTTGTGTTTGCAGGGATTGAGCAATCAGCCTTATTTTCTCTTCCTGATCATCTGGTATGCCGTCCGAGCTATCTGGAACGTGAGTATTGTTGAAAAGTTTGCTAGAAAGACACAATGAAAGCGTATTAACTAGGTATACTGGATGCCATTGTTTATAAACAACAAAGAAAGCAACCAAACAATATGAGTGAACCATAACATTCCTAGTCTTCTGCACTTCACATCCCTTCAAGTTTTGCAAAACCACTTTTGCCCACAGAGTTATTTAAGGCCAAAAAAAAATAGTCGGTCTCTGGTCAGATTGAAGTTCTGGAATTGATGCGGCGACGCGTTTTTTTGGGGTTTTTTTTGTGGCTTTTTTTTTTTCAAGCTTGTATTGTACAGACAAGGTGGGTACTATTTTGCTTTTTTGTGTCCTCATTATACATTGGTGTCCTCCATAATTTGCCTTGGTGCCCTATATCATTTGCCTTGGTGCAATTTCCCCATTCCTTGGTGCTCCTTGGTACAAAAATTTGAGGAGGCGCGGCAATAGAGGGCGCTGTTGTAGCTTCCGTGATAATTTGAAGGAAAAAAAAGGTTGACGCGCATGATTAAAATCGATGCGTGCACTGACCAGAGACCGAGTATTTTTTTTTGGCCTAACACCCGACACATCAAATTCCTTTGAGGTAATCGTAGACTGTGGATTTAAGAAGACTTCAAATCCATACACAATTGTTTTGCGAGGTTAAGTTCAGGTCTAGACCAGTAGGCAGATTCGGTCACGCTTCACTGCCCTCCACAGTGATGGTTTTTTAGCTGCGGGATAGCAGCTCAACAAAACATGTCTCTCCGTTAGTCCGTTAGTAACAACGTTGACATTGTCTATTGCTCCTACATACATGTACATGTATTTTGACCGATTTTAACCAAACTTTGTCAATAGTATCAGTAGCTCAGCCCCAACATGTCACATGACCAAACTGGGGTCTAAGGTCATCATGGGGTCACTTTTACTCAAAACAGTACTCCTTCCAGAAATTACGTGGCACAATCACGTGACTCGTACGCATGAACAAGAATTCGTTGGCCCGCGGCTTGCGAGATCCGATCGAGCTTGTTTTTTGTGTGTCATGACTTGCTGTATCAGTTTACTTACACTTCATATCCCTTCACCTGACCTGCGGGGTTTCAAAAGGATTTACAAATTGCTCAATATATTGAATTCACACTAGGAAGGTTAAAGGAGATATACCGGTATCTCATTTATGAACATGTCATTATTTATCTGGGATAATAAGTATTTTTTCTACAAATAGATCTCATTGTACTGGTTATAAGTTGCAGGGTTATGAAAAGCTTCCTCATAATAGTTCCCTGCAGTATGATCAAGCATTAATTTACAGCTTGATACCTTGTGGGAATTTGTTCTGAATCTTGAAAGTATACATGTATACAGTCGAATCTCGTTAGTACAAACTCGTGTCTCAAAAAATTTTGACTATTACAAACATAAATCCTTAGTCCCGACTGTGCATTTATGTGCACAATGAATGGGACTGATGTTCCTCTTAATACAAAATTCTGATTATAACAAACAATTTGGCTAGATCCGAACGAGACTCAACTGTACATGTAAGACATCTAAACCCCCCCTCCCCCCCCCCCCCCCCCCCCCCCCCCCCCCCCCCCCCGTCATAGAATTGTGTCTCTTCCAGATTCAATAAGATGAGTGGTCCTGTCTCATTTCACAGTGACAGTGAGCATGGTGAGACAGCTAAAAAATATTGAAGTATGAGGCGCTGCCCAACGGTCTCATCGTTAACGGTCACTGTAAGTTAACGTAACAGCTGCCTAATTAATCTTGAATTGATTTTGTGATTACAGATTCATCTTGTGATAACCAGTTGGTCTCTGTATCAATACTTCCGATCCAAGGGATTTGTGGCCGGCAACCGCTAGACAGGGCACCAGTGAGAGGCCTGCCGATGCAGGTACACGTATCATCGGTCTTTGGTTACATGTAGCCATAATCTCAAATTTCTATACCTCATAAATATTCATCAGGCAACTGCTGCATTTCACTGGTCCATTTCAGCAACTCAACCGTGTGAAAGTTTTATCACCGGCCCCGCGTCATCGTACGCACGCGTGTCGCGCAAAAACCAAGGAGGTACTATCACACACCTGGATCGCAGCTTTAGATTTGTTCCCATCAGTCCTATGTTATCTCTTTACCAATGACGCATACGCTTTACGTGCATACGGTGGAGATCACAGTACCAGTGAGGACAGTTGTGCCAGCCTATAATGGCATACATTAAAATGGCGACCGGTGGTGCTCGCTTTGCGATTTTAACCGAGGAGGAACTGGGTGAAATTTTACACAACTATAATAAATCCTGTGTTTTGCGTGAATTAAAGTTATTAAATGACGCAACATTAACTTGCTATTCTGTTTGTCTTCTTAAATTAAAATAATGATTCACTTTATCCAAATAATGCACGATGAAAAACGTGGTACGAATGAAATACCACAACTGCCTGATGAATTTATGAATTTATGAGGTATAGTAAAACAAATACAACATGTTTTTGCGGGGAAATAGTGAAAACAAATGATCCCTCAGTGTTGGATGATTAGGAATATCTCCCTTTGCTTCGCTTCGGGAGTAACAAACTCAAATCCATAACAAATGCCAGTGTTTTTTACTCCCCAAATGATCCCACTGGAAACTAAAAAAATGAAAATCGAAATTGAAATTCGGAATATTTAATTCCTTGGCATGAAAGGGTAAGATTTTTTCTTTTAATAGTTTTTTTTTAAACAACTCAGACAATTCATGTAAGTTAATCTAAAAATTAGTTTGTGAAGTTTTTCTATTTCAGCAAAATAAATGGTTACATAATTATAAGATAAAACCTCAATTCAGAGTCTTGTTAAGTAATTATTATACTCACTTGATGTTATACAACTACATGTATGTTTGCGACGTTTTTGTTTCCTTTTTTGTCTTTTAGTAACAGAGTTCCTTCTGTTAATGACCAAACTAAATATTTGGTCTGATTGTTACTCTCAGTGCAGGGATTTCTTGGGATTGTTTTACCATCATTAAGCAACTTTAAACCATATTTTAATAACTGAAATAAACGTATTGGGTTTAGAAGAATTAGAATTAAAAGTTATACGTGTATCTTTATATTACTCTGACATCATGATCTTGAATCCATGGTACAGAATCATTCACAGTAGGCCAATGTACACATTTTCCTGGGTTGTGTGTTTACAAATATGTATCAGCTTCCATACACAGAAACACATATCAAATGATGTGAAATACATTTCCAAATGAATGAGATAAATAACCAATTTCAAAATATAACATTGCCATGCTGAGCCTTGTACATGTATGCTCAATATCTCCATAGACGATAGAAGGCCAAGGACATCTATAACTTGTACACAATGTAGTTTAAACAAACAATATTTAAACGTGTCACTCTTGCTTCAAATGTATGGAAACACATGTACCGGTATCATATTATTCTTCAATTTACGAGATTTGACATGAAATGCTTTCTACTAACTATTGTTCAACAGTGTCATTGGAGATATGTATATGTACCATGGTTTCAGGCATCATCATATTACTTACATGTATAGTGTTTTAGAATGTTTTTATACAATGCAATTATTTCAAGTCAATTATTCTTGGTGTTTTGATTGTATCTGGCATCATTATTTCTATAAACTAAAGTCGGCTCCATACTGGGAAACTGTTATAACTTTCAAAAAGCACTTTTATTCAGACTCAATTGATCACTTGTGTAAAAAGGAATATATACAAACTGACAAACAGGATAATGATAAAACATATAACTAATAAGTTTTGAAATCTGTATACATTTAGGCTCCACAATGTCATCTTTCATGACTGCTCATGGTTTTGTCTAATCAACACTGATCAACAAAATCTGCATACAGATTACGTTCAATTCTGCCCAATTTCTCTGCAAAATATGCAAATTCATACTCCTTTTGTTATATCAGTAGAATTTTATTAATCTTTACATATTCTTAGCTGCTTTTTACTTTTGCATCTTATTTGGTACATATATGTTGTTCAGAATAAACTGTAGTAAACACTATCAAACCTACAAATATCGTGTCATCCTTGATGTTGTGAATACATTTTATTGTGAAGGACAAAGGCTACAAAAATACATTCATCAATAGCCATTAAATGCTACACAATCAAACCAAGATGCTCGCCTGTTTTGCATGACTTCATTTTCAAATTACTTTCCAGAAGAACTACAAAGATATGAATACCTACCTGTATCATGAAAATCCAATGAAGCCCACGGAAATTAACAGAAAGTTGGATAATTAACCTTGCAATCAAATTAGGTTTTGCCCTTCACCGATGTTTAAACACTGTATACTCGGTGTGTTACCTCCCGAGTGAAAGTTGGAAAAAATCACTCGGATTGAACTTGAGCCCACGACCTCCTGCTTCCTAGTGCAGATGTCTTGCCACTCGACCACCAAGCTAACGGGATCTTATAATAATTTATGCCGTACCCGCTGCTATGTACATCAGATTCGAACCAGCCAACCGATCCCGTTAGCTCGGTGGTCGAGTGGTAAGACATCTGCACTAGAAGGCAGGAGGTCGTGGGTTTGAGTCCCACCCGAGTGATTTTTTTCAACTTTCACTCGGGAGGTAACACACTGAGTATACAGTGTTTAAACGTCGGTGAAGGGCAAAACCTAATTTGATCTATATCACCCGACGCAAAATTCCATCTTACATGTATAATAACCTTGCAATGTCCATGTCATATGTGCATCAGCCACACTTTCATTTGTCAGCAAACTTAGTGTCATCAGGATGCTGCGTATGGCCCTGAACATCCCATGGCAGGATCACGTGATGAAGAATGTAGACCTCTATGCTGGCTTGCCGGAGGTGACGAAAAAGATCTGGGAACGCCGTCTCAAGCTTGCAGGACATTGCGTCCGTCGTACCACGAGCTGGCCGCTAGCCCAATCATTCTCTGGGAGCCCACATGGGCACTGCCTCACGTGGGAGAAGAAGTCTCTCCTTCGTGGACATGCTGAAACGGGACACCGGCTTGGTCACCGCTGTGGAGGTGCGCTCCTGCATGCTGGACCAGGAAATCTGGACCAAGATCATTGGACGGGCTCGGGCTGCCATATGGCCTCGACTTTATTGATGGTGTCATCAAATCTTGTACGTACATGTACAATGTACATGTATAACATGTATGTATACATCTACATGTATACATGATGCTGATGCACACATTTATGTATACATGTATACATGATACACATGTATACAATGTACATGTAAACATGTTTACATGTATACATAGTATGGATACATGTATGCATGTATACATGATGCTGATGCACACATTCATGTATAGTTAGCAATATGGAGGATGATTTCTATGATAAAGACATTATGAGCAATCCTCCTTTCGTTATGCAAAACTCGATAAAAATCACCCAAAAAATTGGCCGAATGACATACATGTATTGTCAACTTTTATTCCCGGAATCAATAGCAATTTTGTTGAAATACAAATGTACCGCGGTACTACGTACCTTCCTTGTTTGTCCTGGATATCACTAACTGGCTAATATTTTCTTTGAGAATGTGTTTGGAAGATATCACCCCGCCACTATTCCCTTCGACAGCCAGCTAATCATATGACGACCTCGTATACGCGCTCTGTAATCAGAGCGTGCCGTTTATTGGCACAACCCTCTCCCCACAAATCAAATTGTTTTTCGGGAGGGTCCATCACGAGATGCTTCAAAGCCGTAATTGAATTCGCCGGAGTTATTTCGGCGCGGGCATGTGGTATTCCTAAAGGGCCTGAGGCGAATCGGTAAAAAAAAAACTGTCTTCCTAATTCCGCTGGATTTGTGAATTATGGTCACATCACCGAAGCGCTATTATAATTCTAGTCGAGGCATAAATGATCCAGTAGGTTATACTAACAAAAAATGGAAGTATATCATAACCCAGACATCTGATTTATGGTGAGATGTAACAGAGAGCGTGCATGGGCACCCCAAACAATTTTTTTCAATATTTTCCATAATGGTATTTTGCATTGGAGAGATTTGGTATCTAGCCCTTTACCATAAGTGCAGTTACAGCATGCAAAAAGATATTCACAAGCTAGCTGAGGTGGGATTCGAACCACTCATTTGCACTGAATTCCATCAGCCCAACAACATTCATGAGTCCTGTACAAATGTACAGTGTATGTAGACAGTCATACAATGTACGGTACATGTATACATGTACACACATTGAAGTGAACATGGACATGTGGGTGTGGTACACATGATGTACCACATCATACATGTACATTAAATGCACACATGTACCTTAATGATAATGAACTTCATTTTTACTTAAAATTTAATAACACCAAGCTAAACACTTGTAGCATTGTACTTAAATGTATACATGTTCTACATAACCCCCGAGAACCGACACACAAAGGGAGAACAACAGATCCTTTCAGTCCTCGGAAGTTGTGTCTTTTGCTGGAGACGGTCCTCTATAGTAAGTTTGTGTGCTTAGTCTATAGGAGAGTGTTATATTACAGGGACAAAGGGAAACATAAAGCATTGTCCTCCAGAGTATAGTAAAACAAGACTGTATGTTTCATGCAAAATCTATGAATTTGAGAAGAAAAACAATTTGCCTTATTTCAGAAATGCTTTTGATCAGACGAAGCCTTAACTCCGGAAAATTGTGGTTTCCAAAGGAATAGGGATAATCAATAATGATTATACGGTAGTTATGAGGAAATTTTGGATGAATAATTTCCCACTATACATGTACATGTACGTGTACATATGTTCGGTATTCACAACAGGAACGCGTCCAATACGTGTACATGTTTGCAATGTCTTGCTTCCCCAAGGCATATGCTACAGAATGTTTGTAGTTAGAAATCAATACGGACAAAGTCCTTCCATCTCAATAATAGCGCCATCCATCATTATTAGCTGAGGCAGCAGACATTCATCCATCACTATTTGCCATCCGCACGTGCCCATAGCGCATGCATTAGATCAGTCGTGCAGAAATCAACGCCACCAACCAAAATATTTAGCAAGTACACGTACATGTATATGATGTATATCAATATTATTGATCACCATCTCCTGTTAAACATGTACCTGTTAACTAGCAGAAACTTACAGAATTCAAGACATAAATTTGATCTCAAAATCGAAACCACTGATGTAGTTTGAGGGAGACAAGACTTAAATGTTACATGAAAATCAAAACCATGGATTTTGCTATACATTTAGGTTGAGGGATACACTCTCCCTAAGAAAATCATTTCTGATGAAACAAAGCAAAATTCAAAAACGTTCCCAGGCCAACAGAAATATGATCACAGATGCTTCGTTGAACTTTAAGACATTTGTATCTTTGTGGTGGCCACATATATCGCAGCGCCAGTTTGTAGTAAACATGTTGATCGTCTAGTAACCCTATCTGCAAGCTCGTGAGTGCTGTCATCGGATGGGCAAATCTTTTAAGCCTCAAACTAGGACCTGTTCAATCCGACCAAAATACCAAGCCCGGCTCTTGCCATTTGCAAATCAAATCACTCAATGTGTAACTGCATTCACCAATTTTTTAGGAGCGGATTTCTTGTATTCCGGCGAGATTTACTGGATCAACCTAGAGCTGCTGCACGTGTAGATTGTACATGTACATGTATGTAGGACTGAATGTAGCTTGCTGGAGGATCTACCGGTACATGTAGCCACACTAGGCGGATGTTCCTGGAGTCTTTATTGTTTGCGTCCCACTGGGATTCCCCAGATTCAGTGTAACATCTGACATTTAAACAGCAGTGAACTTTCAAAAATTCCGGCACATTTGAGAGATTACGATCCAGAGAAATTTATTTGGGGGCAATTCCACTTAAAAGCTCATCTACATGTAGACAGCACTTTGATGGACTCGATTACATTAGTCAGTGTTAATCTACCGGTAATGCACCTCGATCGATTGTAAGATGGAAACCCCCCCCCCCCCCCCCCCCCACTGGTGTGGTGCGTCAAGAGTGCCTCATGTTCAACATGGCTGTGGCACAGGGGTGCGTCAAA